CAAACATTTTGAGTAAGTAGAACTACTTTGATTGAATATAAAAAATATTATTTTGCATTGTATAAATTCACTATTTTTTACATCCTACATGTATTTGTTAAATTTAAACAATGTTTGTAAATCCTAGGCCCTGAAGATGATCTCAGTAAAGATCGAAACGTTGGCACGTTGAAGAAAATGTTTTTCTAAAACCTACGATATCCGAATAATCATCGATTAACGGGCACTAATTTACCACACATTATTATTAACTATTATTATTAATTTTTTTTTTAAAAAAAGGATGTAAAATTTCTCTGGAGAAACTTCACGGGTTCATTCAAACCGTGAATCCATCGATGCTTACGTGCTTATTCACGTGGAATAATTTGCGGAGTATCTGTTTGCGGAAGCAGTGAATCGGAATCTTCAGAAGTTGATAGGAACAACTTAGAAAAAACCGATACATGCTGTCAAAAGTATTTTTCATTGAAAACCTCAAAGTTATCCCTTTTTCTCATATATTCTTTTTCAAGAATAATAATACTAATTAGAAAAGTCGAATAGAAAATGTTTTCATCGTAACATTGTCGGTCACGAACGCGAATTTACATAGGGTTCATATAGTTTTTCGAGTCGGTGCCCCCGATATATGGAAACGTGAGATAGCTCTCAGGTAAACTCGAAATTTTCAAGAATATTGCTTTTTTAAATTGTTTCATGGATGAATATTTTTGCCGGAAAAGATTTTTTCTTTAATATATTATTTTCACGTTGTACAACTGTGTGGTGATGAGTGACCGTTAATCGATAATTATTCAGAAATCGTGAGATGCGGTTTGGTGTGATGTAGGTTTCAGAAAAACATTTTCTTTATCGTGCCAACGTTTCGATCTTTATTGAGATCATCTTCAGTGCCTGGGATTTACAAACATTGTTTAAATTTAACAAATACATGTAGGATGTAAAAAATAGTGAATTTATACAATGCAAAATAATATTTTTTATATTCAAGAATGGCACAATTACACAGAAGACAAACACTTTGAGTGAGTAGAAATACTTTGATTGAATATAAAAAATAAAATAAAATAAATATATTTTGCATTGTATAAATTCACTTATCCACATCCTAAATGTATTTGTTAAATGTAAACAATGTTTGTAAATCCCAGGCCCTGAAGATGATCTCAATAAAGATCGAAACGTTGGCACGATAAAGAAAATGTTTTTCTGAAACCTACATCACACCAGGCCGCATCTCACGATTTCTGAGTAAATATTGTACCATGTTAGATTTCGTGTTTGTGAATTTTCGATCGAGCTTTAAAAAAAAATTAGAGCTTTAATAATATCATTCTGAACTTTCAATAAGTGTCCATATACATAATTGTCATGAACCCACGAACCAAATTTCCAAAAATTAGATTCGTCAGGCAATGGATTAAGAAAAATTCCTCGGTTATTTGTGTTTTATTCCAAGAGTGAAGAATGGAAGAAAGTTCGTTAAAGCGGGGAACACATTTACCCGATTCAACACTATGCGACGCTACCCGATCTCTTGGTTTTGGTAGGGTGTGCACATCTATCCGACGTCAAGCGCACGCCGCGTACAGTCTCAGAGCGTATATCACAAATCAGTACCGCAATTGCAACGCCTCTTTTGTTCTTAATGCATTATTTATCAAAACAATGTAATAAGTTGTTAGGTAATTTTATGGGCACAACCACCAATAAATTGATTGTTAAACTTAATTGTTTTAAATGAAGTTATTCCGGTGTTTTGATAAATTTTCTTCTAAACCATCATAATTGAATAATTTTTATAAAAGCTCATGAATTTTTGATCTCGTTTAATTTGGGTTACATTAAAATTAGAATGTTGTAATTAATATAAGGACAAAATTACATATACATAGTTTGATATAAACTACAAAAAAATATGATTGTCTAGTTTGACGCTACTCGACGAAAATGGTATAATTTTATGAGCAAAACCATGAAATATATTGTTAGTTAAATTTTATGAGTAAACCCTTGTAATAAATTGTTAGTTAAATTTATTATATCAAAAAATGGTATTCCGGTTTTTCATCAATTTTCTACCAAACCATTAAAATTAATTTTTTTAACAAATTATTCAGAAATCGTGAGATGCGGTCTGGTGTGATGTATGTTGGCACGATAAAGAAAATGTTTTTCTGAAACCTACATCACACCAGACCGCATCTCACGATTTTCGAATAATCATCGACAAACGGTCACTAATCACCACACACTTTTTAAATAAAAACTAACGAATTATTGATCTCGGCTTATATCAAAATAAGTATGTTGTAATTAATATAACGACAATAATGCGTGTAGTTTGAATAAAAACATGAGTGTCCGGTTCTTTTGTCTTCGACTGTACTCGATGCTACCCGACGAAAATCTGCACAGTGGGGATCGCAGAGCGTAGAGTAGGGTAGCATAGCATCGGGCAGATGTGCACGGGGTAATACAATCTTATGGAAAATCGGACTTTGGGTTTGCGTCGAGTAGTATCGGGTAGCGTTGCATCGGGTAAGTGTGTTTCCCCCTTCACCCGTTGCTGCGCCACCGACGCCCGGATAAAATGTTATAGTAAAGGCGTATATTCGCCGAATCCCGACTAGTGTGGGTGGATGCTCGGCTATTCTCCGGACAACAATATCTGGTACTCTCCATGCTGGGCTTTTTGTCGGTTTTCTTGTCCGCTTCAAAGGGCACGCATATTTGTGATGTATCCTCTCTTAAACCATCCTCACATTCGGAAATCAAATGTAACAGATCATACCTTTAACCCTCTTTCAACTGTTATCATAATCAACAAAAAATGTATACTTCTATTTAATGCTAATTTTTTTCATTAATAAACAATTCCTAAGTAGTTTAGATGTATTAATTTACACAATATCAACAGTTTTTTTCTTTTTTTAAATATTAAGAATAGATTGGCCCAACGCAACAGTTTCGGAGTTCCTCGATGTTTACGAAACAGAACCACTAATTTGGAAAGCTCCTCTTACGAATCATATTTTTCTTAAAAATAAAAAATATAATTAAATATACTTTAAAAAATTAGTTTGTAAGCACTGCGCAAAACAGTAACCGCACCTGCATTAATGACAGTTTCACTATTGTCCAAAACGAATGGTGAGGACTTGCACTGCACTTGGCAAATACGTATTCGCAACAACTACGAGGTTATACAAACACCGCATGTGCGTATACACAGGCACGCTAATTTCAAGACGAGCATCTGGAGACTTTGCAAATATTCTGCGGCAATGGGCATTCGGCCATCGGTCTGGAGCCACCTCGTTTTCGGGAGACAGCGTCGGGCCAGACCAAAGTCAACAAGTGATCCGCGTGAGGAATTGCGCTGCGAAGTCGAAGATCTTTGGAAGACGGTTCAGTAAGTTCTAAAATCGAGATTGTCACAACTATCGCGTGTTCATCTGATTTTAAATTCCAGCATGTTATACTTTTTTCAATATCGTTCAAATATCTACAGAGAATTTCAAGAACTGTTTGATATAACGTAAACAATTTTATATTCGATTCTGCAAAAACATCCATTGCTTGTTAAAATCAAAACAACGTATAATTGTTTAGATTTTAATGGAATTCTGTCACAATGTTGGATGTTCAATCAATCACGTCGTTTCAAAGCAAATCTGCGCCAATTTAATTGAAAATCGGATAAATCAACTGGGGTCTCAACCGAGGAAATGGGTTTTAGATTTATTGCGAGGGTCATTATCAGTGGTAAAACTACAGCGCGTTTTATACCATTTTATTCGAAGGACTGAAAGCTTTGAACAATAATCGTTCCGAGGATTGCCGGCGTTGGGTTTTACTATCTGCCCGTGGGTCGGCGGAGATATCAGTGAAAAATCATTCTTATTTATTTTCCTCTAATACCATTTACACTGCAAAGACACTTTGAAACCAATAGAACCGAGTTTCACGAGATCAAACAGAAGGATCTAATTGAAATTTACTCTTGGTACAACTTACAAATCAAATTTTGTTCTTAACAGAATAATTTCAGTTCCCTTCTTCCTTCCTTTTTGTGTTTTGGCCTGTTAAATTTCATTGATATTGCACATCCGATAATAGGCGTGAAAACTATCAAACTTTAGCTTTATCTTTCAATTAGTTAAGGTTTTTGGTTGAGATAAAAAAGTCAATGGCACGAGCGGGATTCGAACCCACGATCTTCGGCTAGATATGCCGCTGCTCTACCACTTGAGCTATCGTGACTGTGATCCACTCGGACACCAACTTCCCATCTCACGATAGTTCAAGTGGTAGGGCAGCGGCGTATCTAGCCGAGAGTCGTGGGTTCCAATCCCGCTCGTGACACTGACTTTTTTATCTCAACTAAAAATCTTAATTAATTGAGAGATATTAATTGTTCAAACGGACCACGAAAACTAGTGACTTTAGTTTTATGATGAAGTTACAGAGTGAGTCACTAGACAACTGCAAGTGGTTCAAACGTCACAGTCAGCTTAAGAAAATAATTACTTGATTAATGCATTCTTTCTCTTTGTAAAAATAACAAGCAAAAGTAATAAAAAAAAACACTCTTACAATGCATGTCTGGAGACGAGGTTGTAAGCTCTTTCAACCTGATGATGAGCTCCAAGCTTGAAATCCAGATCGTTGAGAGCAACTGTCAGTAGGAACCATCTTTTTGAAAAGATTGAACAACACACCCATTCCACCATTTATCATTTCTACAATTTATGTAAAGTAATAAAAAATTTTATAAAAGCTGTTGAATGAATTACAGTTGAAATGAATTACCGCCATAGCTTAGTAGTAGATCAACTAAATTGATCAAATAATGTTTTTTTTAATGGAATTTTCTGATTTCCTTCATTTGTATTCTATGTAAAATTGTTATTGTAAACGTTGGATTTTAATTTGTTTCTGAAAAAAAATCAAATCATTAAGGTTTCATGTAAGTTGTATTTACTTGTTCGCAGATGGAAGCAAGGATAATGAATCGCTAAAGGGCGTCCGAAAAATCCAATCCGCACAGTTGAAAGCCTGTAAGTCTCAGCTGTTTAATATTTATTGATCTTAACTTGCCCTTTGGACCCGACTTGATCTGCTTAAGATTAATTTCCATGGACACCACCCCGATGGATTCCCCTGGGAGAAAATTCCTCCTGGAAGCAAATTCCCCTCACGAAATGATACCGAGTCTAGCGACTATTTGTAGGGGGTTTGAGAAAGTGATGATGTACGCATGAGCACAGCACGTAGAGGATGTGCGGCTTCCTTCCGTAGATCGAGGATTGCCCACATTCAAAGTAGATGAGGCTGAATAATTTCCACATCGAACAGGACTGCCATAATGGTAGAATGTGAATAAATTGAGCCGTTCCAGTCATAAACACAAGGCGTTATAATCTTGGCTATAAACTTTATCCTGCAAGGGAGGAACATCGATCCGTCGAAGGATCAGTTTTACCCTAAGCAAAAATATAACTTTTTATTTTTAGAATAATTGACTTTTCTTAAACAAAGGCTTATTCAGACTCCACTCCATAAGGGTCAAATTTTAACATTTGTCTGAATAACCAGTTTCATTAATTGATTTCCGAACGTAAATATGTTTTTACTGCCAGCTTTTCCAAAATTTACCAAAAATCATTCAACTTTTTATTATACAAAAACAGTCAGATTTTAGTCGGCAGTTCTAATTATCTAAAGGCAATTACATATATCAATTATTGGATAAACAATTATTGTCCTTTACATGTCTCGTCTTCATTCGTGATTTCTGTTTTTTACACATTTGGAGGTAGAGTGACTCATTCTTTCTTCCTCTCTTCTTCCTTCTCCCTCAATCTCTTTCTCTCTTTCTATATCTTTCTCTCTCCCCCTCCCCTCTATTCTATCTCTATATTCATTCTATCTCTTCTATCTTTTTCTTTTATCTATACATTATCATCTCCCTTTCCCTTTCATTGTTTTTGTTAAAAAAATAAAATAAATAAAATCAGGCTTTCAGATGATAAATAAACTGAAGTTGTATTCGGGCCAAATACTAGGAACTAAGAAGTAAATAAGAAAGGAAGTACAAGTAAGCCAAACTAAGAAAATTGAATATGCAAGCGTTTTTAATGATTTGTTTCCCAGTTCATCAATTAGTGATGAAGGTACTATATCTATTTTGAATTCGTCGGTGAAATCTAATGATTACCCGGCCATTTCTCGTCAACTTCACTCCCAAAGGACTTGTTTTCTACTTTTTAGTCTACATTCTGTAAATCGAGAAAACTATTTCTACTTTCTCGAACAATGTATTAAATTTAGATTGATACGTTTCGTTACATTCATGTTGGTGAGAAGGAATATTCCTCAATATTCCAATTGTGTTCAAGAATATTAAATCGCATAACTTTCGAACTTAATTTTATAGAAATAACAGGGTTTTTTATTTAGCTGAATATCTTTAAAACTCAGTAATTTTTGCCTTTATATCAAATTACTTACGATTTTATTAATCAAGCGTGCTTTGTCAAAAACTGAATTCAACTTAGGAAAAACTTTAATTAAATGCCTTTTTAAGTGTTAAGGGTAAGCTTTCCCCTTTCGGTTTTAATAAACTTTATTTCTAATTTAATGATGAAATATATCATGCTTACTATTTTTAAAATGTTACAAGTGACTTCTATATTATCTATGTTATTCCTGAAACCTTCAAAATTATATAAGTTTTAAATATTTAACCTAACCAATTGGTCCTCCGGGCCGGATAGCCCGATATTAGACGCCTAGTGCAAAAGGTCCAACAGGGTAAGGGAATCTTCCGCATTGGGCATGTGCAGAAATTTATTATCTAGGAAAAGTAAATCTCAAGTCTCTCTGTCGCTTTTCTAAAAACGTTAAAACTTTCGAATTAATTAATTTACCGATGTTGCGAAAATTTATAAGGACATATATTTTATGTAAACGATATAATACCAATGAGTTTATTTAATTGTTTATTTATTTATTTCTAACCACTGCACTTTAATTAACACGTCCTGGTGGGTTTTTGTAATCGAAATGCTGTGAAATCCAATTAACTTTATACACCGCTTCGCTGCAATCTGTTGTTTAGAAGGGATAAATTGCAATTAGGCTCACTTTAATAGAATACGTTGAATATGTTCGCTTTTGTAGATTTCATGTGTGAAGTGTTAAAATATTCAATAAAAACAGCACATTTTTACTCGAATCAAAGAGAACAACATTTTGTAGTAAAAGTCAGAACTTTTTGCTTCAGAGGCTATGGGAGGAATCGAACCAAAAACCGCTAGCGTGGCAAATACTTTCCACTCAGCTACCGTGGGCTATAGGGTTTAAGTGTAGTAGTACCAACTAGGCAAGTTAAGAAAATCAATCGATAATTAATTGATATAAACGGAATTTAAAAGTTATCATAACTGAGATTTCCAACTGTCTGAGTGAAGAATCATCACACGAATCAGCGAAGTTCTGATTGCATCCAGCAAAGGCTATTATTAAGGTGCACAGGAAGGCTTATTTTCGATGTATATGAGCGTGTAGGATCATCGATAATTTTAAAACCATATAAGTAATGTATCTTAGACGCCCATTCAGCAATTGGGCTTACTTGCACGTTACTTTTATTTTGCATTTGTGAAAAAATAGGCATAAATGATAAAAGTGGTTAAGAAATATTTGTTTATACAAAACTCAATTTACCTTATTTTTAGACAAACCGGTAGATCATCATTTACTGCCAACTGTCTTCGTGTGCTGCTCTCCTCTCGCTCACACACTCTCACTTTGTTTGTATCTCTTTCTTTTTCTAGTTTTCTCTTCCTCTCTCTCTCTTTCTCTCTCTCTCTCTCATTCACTCACTATCTCTTGCTCTGTCTCTCTTTCTCTCTCTCTCACTTACTCTATTTCACTCACTCACTCTCTCTCGCTCTCTCTCTCTCTCATTCACTCACCCACTCACTCATTCACCCACTCTCTCGCTCACTCTCGCTCTTTCTCTCTTTCTCTATCTCTATCTCTCTTTCCCTCTCTCTCACTCACTCTCGCTGTCTTTCTCTATCTCTATCTCTCTTTCTCTCTCTCACTCACTCTCGCTCTCTTTCTCTCTCTCTATCTCTCTTTCTCTCTCTCACGCTCTCTCGCTCTCTCTTTCTCTCTCTCACTCACTCACTCTCTCTCGCTCTCTCTCTCTCTCTCTCTCACTCTCTTTCTCTATCTCTATCTCTCTATCTCTCTCTCACTCACTCTCGCTCTCTTTCTCTCTCTCTATCTCTCTTTCTCTCTCACTCACTCTCTCTCGCTCTCTCTTTCTCTCTCTCTCTCACTCACTCACTCTCTCTCGCTCTCTCTCTCTCTCACTCTCTTTCTCTATCTCTATCTCTCTTTCTCTCTCTCACTCACTCTCGCTCTCTTTCTCTATCTCTCTTTCTCTCTCACTCACTCTCTCTCGTTCTCTCTTTCTCTCTCTCTCTCTCTCACTTACTCTCTCTCACTCACTCACTCACTCTCTCACTCACTCTCACTCACTCTCTCTCTCGCTCTCTTTCTCACTCACTCTCTTTCTCTATCCCTATCTCTCACTCTCTCTCTCTCTCTCTCTCTCTCACTCTCACTCACTCACTCACTCATTCACTCACTCTCTCCCTTACTCTCTCTCTCTCCCTCTCTTTCTTTCCTGTATTTCTTCCCCCTTTCTCTGTTCTCTGCCTTTCTACATATATAAAGGTAAAGTCCAGAAAGCCAGGTAGTTTTGGGAAAAATTAATTTGTAAGTACTCTGGAATTTGAACACGGGACTATTACAGTAATGAAACGCCGTGTTAACGATCCCACCGTTGCCACACCCTGTTGCTTCTAACAGCTAAATAAAAATATATATGATATTTGTTTGTTTAATTAAGGTTGAAAATAACGAATTAGGAAGGGGAATGATAAATCTGCGAACTCTTCGGCGTAAGAAGGAATTAACAAGTTATAATTTTTTATAAATGATTATGGTGGTAATCTGTTTGTCTTTAAATCGTCAATGGTTATTTAAAAATGTATAACTATATGCTACATTTTTTTCAAGTTTGTATCGTGGTGTTAATTTTTGGCAGAGTTTTTTTTTTGGCAAAAATAATCATTTTTATCACTTCACTGAAAATTTTGGCGATTTTAAAATTGACATAATTACTGTTTGTTAAGTCTTAATGGTATGTTGTTTTTGGAGAAATGCATGTCGATGATGCATTCTAAACAGTGTTGGGGATGTTGAGACAACGAGGACGTGCTGAGGATCCACTTTGAATACTCAAATTGGAGGACTAGCTAATTTTCATACAAACCTCCACTGTGTCTAGAATAGAGTTTTTAATATATTCTCGAGATTTTAATATATTTTACCTACTGGCGTTACGGTTCAACAGTTATTTGAGACTTGTGGTTCGTTTTCATTCGTAATAATACCGAGTAATCGATTGTTTCCGGTCGATATTAGATTAAAACGTCTAAAATAAGAATCCTAATAAAGAATATTTTATAAAGATAGACTATTTCCAATGGAACGAGCTAATCGTCAGGCAGACAGATGCAGCGTTCTGCATTATTGAATAGAGTTGAACCTGTACAAAATATCAAAGGGAAAATTATTATTCATACACAACGGTGCACATCAGACGCTTCTGTAGTATCGTTTCAGTTAAATTATTGGAAATTAAAAAAGAAGAAGTTTTAAGATCACAAAATTGGAGTGAAGAGTTTGGTGATTAGTGACCGTTAATCGATAATTATTCAGAAATCGTGAGATGCGGTCTGGTGTGATGTAGGTTTCAGAAAAACATTTTCTTTATCGTGCNCTCCAGGCCCTGAAGATGATCTCAATAAAGATGGAAACGTTGGCACGATAAAGAAAATGTTTTTCTGAAACCTACATCACACCAGACCGCATCTCACAATTTTCGAATAATCACTGGAGAGCAGTTTTTTTACCTGTCAGGGTACATTCGTAAATTGATTCTCCAACGGATCCTAAAATATTGTTAACTGTGCCA